TTCAGTCTCCACTTCATGTTTGAAATTCTAGCAATTACAAACAACTTTTCACAAGCCTTACAGAAGAAGGATCAGGATATTCAGAATGTTGTGGGTTTATTAAATTTATGTAAGTATGCATTGCAGGACATGAGAGACAATGGCTGGGATAATTTGTTGAGTAGGGTGATTGAGTTTTGTGTTGTTAGACATATTTTTGTGCCCAATATGGAGGATATTGTAGTATTGAGAGGTCGGCCTAGGCGTGGAACTCAGCAGGTGACTTATTATCATCGTTTTTATGTTGATTTGTATTGTTACGTGATAGACTCAATCTTGCAAGAGTTGAATGATTGTTGTTCCGAGACAACTACTGAGCTCCAAACTTGCATTTCGTGTTTAAATCCGGGAGATTCCTTTGCAGCTTTTGATAGGGATAAATTGTTACGTCTTGCTCAGTTGTATCCTTTGGACTTCAATAATGAAGAGCTTTTATTGCTTTGACCTGAACTTGACAAGTTCCTTATATATGTGAGAATTACTGAAGCCTTCTTTAATCTCAATAGCATTTCTTGTGTGGCTCGGCAGTTGGTTGAAACATGAAGCTCTTGTTATTTTCCATTGGTTTACAGGCTGATTACATTGGTTTTGATATTACCTGTGGCAATTGCAAGTGTTGAAAGAGTATTCTATGCTATGAATCTAATCAAGAGTGACTTGCGCAACAAAATGGGAGACGACTGGTTGAATGACAATTTGGTGGTGTACATGGAGAAAGAGATTTTTGAAAAAATTGAGAATGAAATAATATTGCAACGTTTTCAAAGCATGAGATCTCGTAGAATATAGTTGTCTAAGATCACAGTTACATAATATGTTGTTTGCGTATTTCTTTAGTACTTTTGGTTGTATTGAACTACGTTTTCATATATACATTTTTTTTATGTTTTAGTGCGTTTACATATAGATTGAATAATTTTTAATATTATATAATTAAATATTAACAAACGATCTCGCTCTTACGATAGCTGATGGTCGACGTTGACTGATTGACGTTGACTAGTCAACGTCCGTCCGGGGTGAGTTTAGAACCCGGGTTTGCCACTGATCAAGACCATTGATTGTTTTAAGTGTTTCTAAAATCACTGGTTAAATTGGGAAAATGTTAAGTTCCTGTTTGACACCCATTTTGTTTGAAAAATAATTTTTGTAATAGTGATTGATGGAAGACTGTGTGGTTAAAAAGTAAGGAGAATTTTTGGGTTTATGTGTAATATTATTTTATTAATAGAATGTGTGATTGAAATGAAAACTGAGAAATAGAATGAGAAAAAAATGGGTGTCAAAAAGGGGCATAATAAGCTTGTCCGTGCTTTCAAAGACAAGACCACTGACATTTAGCTTGTGTTTGACACCCATTTTAGGGAAAGAATAGATTTTGGAATAGTGATTGATGGAAGAATGTGTGGTTAAAAAGTAAGGAGAATTTTTGAGTTTATGTGTAATATTATTTTATTAATAGAATGTGTGGTTGAAATGAAGAAAGATAAATATAATGAGAAATAAAATGAGAAAAAATGGGTGTCAAACAGGAGCTAAGTGTACATAATAAATGTACACAATGATTGACACAATGTGATGTGACACCTATCTTGTCAGTGATGTGACACCTATCTTGTCATTGATGTGTAAATGCCAGATTTGAATTAAAGGTTTGAATGAATGCCACGTGTAATTATGTAGACCATTATATAGAAAGTTATGTACGTGTAGCATCACTCCTTAAATTGTGTGCCACATCATGAAATATCAACTATGATTAAGTGTAGCAAAATTGTTTTCAAAATAAATTTTTCTTTTTTATTTTCAACAACGCATTTTTCAATAAAATAATATAACACGTAAATTCAAAACTTTCCTTATTTTCTAATCACACATTTTCTATAAAAATAATATTTCAAAATATATTTTTGGCCAAAAAAAAAAAAAAAA